TAGACAGACAGCTGGGCTAGGGTTCCCAGATCAATATGAAATATCATTCGCCCGCCAAATATGGCCTTGGGTCATTTAGAAAGCAATTCATCGAAGCAATTCGAAGCTCACAGTTGAATCGCAAAACAAAGAAAATAAAAATAGAAATACTCCTAATACAATAACAGCAACAACAACAACAACAAAAAATAGATTCCCGAATAAAACTACCGTGGGCTACTGCCAAAAAGGCTACCGGGAAGAGTGCGCGATAAACATTTAAGATTGCCCATTTTAACCATTGTGTTTGATGGCCCCAAAGCTAAATTTACAACCCAAAAAAAACCACAGCCAAGCAGAGATATCTGTAAAAAATTGCAATTTGGGTTGGGTTTGCTTACTGGATGAATTTTTTGTTTTTATTTTGGCTGTGGCTGCTGCACATCTTCTTTCCTGAAAATATTTTGCAGTTTTCTAATTGTTTTGTTTGGTTTTTTGAAGGGGGGATTTTCATCTCTTGTGCGAGACGCGGCATCGTTAACAAATTTATTATAATGGAGAGAGAAACATAGATAGAGAGAGGGAGAGAGAGAGAGAGGGAGGGAGAGAGAGGGAGCGAGAAAAATCCCCAAAAAAAAAGATACACCATTCCTCCCCAGAGTCGCGTCGCTGAGTCGCTGCCTCTTTTCGTGTCTTCTTGGCCATTGCATAAGTTTGCTAATTTTTTTTTTTTTTCCAACAGAGCTGGGCTTTTTTTATATAATATCGTTAATACATATTATTTTGCAAGGCTTTGTTCATGCTCCAGGTAGAGTCTTGTACTTTGAACTGCGAACTCCATTGGGCAGAGGCAAAGGCAGAGGCAGAGTCTGTGCCTTAGAGCTTGCTTTTGGCCAATGCCCGCCTGATCAATGGATGGACTTGGACATGTAGGCATCTGCCGAAATTGACAGACTGAATGAAGAGTGGGAGGGGGGAGGGGGAGGAGTGGGTTGTGGTACTCGTCTTGTGCAGTGACCCAAAGAAATGGTAATGCGAGTCTGGATCGTCTTCGTCTTTGGTTGGGTCAGAGGGAAACCCATGCCCCATACCCGCACCTCATGGCCTGGCCTGGCCACTCAGTCATTGAGTCAGTGGGTGCAACACAGTCAGCCGCAGAGCCACAGCCGCCACAGCCAGACTTCGTGTGAAGATCTGTGAGAAGTATACAAATGGGTTTCAGGTTCGTTGGTTCACTACAGTTTTTTTTTTTGTTTCTTGCCTGTGTTGTGGACTGTGGGCACCAAAGGAGTTTACTTCTCATTTTGTGCTGCAGGTTTTCGTTCAGCGACTGTGCGGCGGCTTCGATGGTATCGCCTTTGAAATCCACGACAGCGACAAAAGTCGCAGTGGAAGACTGCGACGACGACGACGACGACGACGTTTGGCCTAATAGACATAGAGGAGTCCCCAAACCCCCTGCTTGGTTTTTTTTTTTTTGTAGAGTCTCTTCCTGCAGTACCTTTGATGATGATGATGATGTTGCTGTTGTTGCTGTTGCTGGGGGAGGCCATTGATGATGATGATGATGATGATGAGGAGGAGGCCGTTCGTCTGGAGACTAGACTTTCACTATTAATTGTCGATTTTCATCAATTGTTGTTGTTCATTGTAGTTGTTATACTACGGATCGGATGGGCTGGTATGGTGGGGTGGGTGATGCGGCAATGCTTAATGGCCTGGCCAATGGGTAATGGGGTTGGTATTTAAAGTTGAGCACAAAAGACTCAAACTCAGACTGAGAGCTGAAAAACTGTAGAAGAAGAAAAAGAAGAAGAAGAAAAAAACCCAATTTCTTGTAACCGTCCTCGAATCGAAATTTTCATATCGAAATTGGATCTATTACTCAATGGAGAGTGAGAGACAATTTGATTGATTTATGCAATCTCAGACCTTTCCTCCAGCCATTGTCTATGGCAGTTAATTGCTCATCCAGCAGAAGATCCGTCCGCTCCACCATTCTGCTGCGAGTCTTCTGTTATATCATCGAAAAGTCTGGGCGGGGAGGGGGTACATGCCCCCCCCCCTCGTTACATTTGCATTTCAAACCCAACATTTGACATAGTTTTGAGATGGCATTCTACAAAGCGATTGAGACGCCGACAATGTCTGAATATTTGTCACTGCCAAAGTGCCGACCTGCCTCTGCCAACTCTCATCTAACCATACCCAAAAAAAAAAATGGTAGGGGGGTGCACCGGCAACAGCCAATAGAACAACATTTATGATTAGTTTTTTCTAAGTTTTCTGTTTTTATTCATATGGAAGTTGGCTTGAGGTTCGTTGTTGCTGTTGTTGTTTCTTGTGGCCAAATGCAGCGCTTAATCATCTATAAGGCAAGTTATGCCTTTTCGATTTGTCGCTATGGGAAACTTGAAATTCTGGTAGAGTTGGGGGGAACGTAACGTTTTCTAGAGTGTGTGGAAGATGTACAAATAATTTACTGGGTTTACGGCTGCTTGTAGGTCAACGTTTGGTGCCTAGGAATTTACACAATTTAAGCAATTAAATTGCGATAGCGATTGATCATGAAATACTATTTATGTGAAAGAACTAGAGATACTTACGCGTATGCGTAAGGTAAGGTGTGTACAAAATTAATTATATTTTATGCTGCATTTTTATTACCAATTTAGTTATTTATTTTCTATAAATATGTTTTAGCACTAAATAAATTATTTTAAATAAAGTTGTACTCAAGAGTATGAGGAGTTCGAGTCAATAGAGGAGACATGTGTAGTTTTGTATTTTATTCAAACATAATTATATCCTATTAAATTGTGAAAAAGTATCAGTACTTTTTGAACACAGTTTTCCACATATTTTGCACATGCTTGTTAAATTAAAAAACGTTCAAACAATTATGGTATGGTATCTGATTATAATGTAATCACATGATGTTCCAATTACTGCTTTTCTTTGGGGCAGAAAATGCTTTAATTTGTTGAAAGATGATTAATGTTTTGACCAACTTCATGTAGAGCTTTATTATCTCTTTTTTTTTTGTCTTATATTGCCATGAAAACTATTAAATTTTTTTGTAGTTTTTAATCATTATGTCTCCTTGATTTATATATTGGTATATTTTTAATGTGTAAAGTATTTACATGGCAATAAAAGAAGATGCCAAAAATATCCTCTGCTAGTATTTAAAGTTTTCTGAGTCGTAAAATTTCAATAATTTTGAATATTTCTTTTGCCATCCAAACGGACAAATCTCTCAAGCATAAATTTGTGCAATATTTCAATACACTGAAATGCACCCATCATGAATATTTATATAAATTGTATATATTTATACACACATTTATCTATCTATCTATCTTTTTTTTCGTTATTTTTTTTTTGTATGACTTTATGACTGCCCTCCATGAACTGCGTCCACGTTTTTCTCGATTTTTGTTGTTTTATTTTTGGCGTTGGCTTTTCGGTGTTTGTTGGGTCTACTTGGGACAACTGACACGACAGCCAAACAGCAACCAAAATCATTTATTAATTTGTCAAATTCAAGCCAAGAGACACACGTTAGGAAATCCACAATCTGGCGGTGGGCTATGATTATTATTATTTTGCCAGCTTTTTTTTAGTGTTTTGTTTTTACTTTTTGTTTTGTTTTGTATGTAGCGTAGCTGTTGGGGCTGCCGGGTTATAACTAATTCCTGCAGATAAAAAGTGTCAAAAGAGTCAGACGGCCAAGAAGTCAACTGAAGTCGGCACAAAAAAAAATCAGTGAAAAATAACTAAATACACAGCAAAAGTTGATTAGTAAGAAATATATGTACATATGTATGTATATGCATGTCTGTATGAGACATGTGTGAAAAATAGTTTTGTTGAAGTTTGCTTATAATTATGGTTTGGCTTAATTAATGGTTTTGATGACAGTTTCTTACTGGCCTGAGATTTATGGGAATTGGAGAGGGAGGAAACTTTGAGCCAAACCGAAGGGTTTTTATATAGGGGAGATTATGACTTTAAATAAACATGGGGAATAAAAACAAAGACGGTATGGAAATAGGATAAATAAAGGGGTAATTTTTCAGCTAAATATTAATTCCATTTGCTGCTATTTCTACTCTTCTACTAAGAGTATTAATCCAAAGAATTACAACCTCAACTTATTCTTCAATTTTCAATAATTTCGTTTTATTGATGTGCAAACAAACAACAACAAAAATTATGCAAATTATGAAAAATGATTTCACAAAGCCAAAACGAAACGCTGCCACACAGAGATTCGATGAGGATTTTGCAATGCGAATAGGCCAAAATATTTATTATAATCAACAAAAACAACAAAAAAGAAACAACAGCGAACACCCGCAACGTGGCAGGGAACCCGGGTTGTTGGGGCAGCCAACAGCCAGAGAGTCAGGGAACGTGCAACAACGGACAACACAATTTATTACATTTTATGTGCCGCATTAACCGAGCGATGGAGATGTGATCCTCGTTTCGTTTAGGTTGGTTTTTACTCTTGGGGGCTGGGGGGTTTTCTATTTTGTTGTTGTTGTTTTTTTTTTTTGGCAACATCTTCGTTTTCTTGGTTGCAACGTGAGCTTGCCTCATTGCTAACCCCGCGACACAATGAGGAGGTGTCGTGGCAGGCATCGCTACCCCCCTACTACATCTATATATTTATATATGTGGACAGTTGCTGGAGTTTTTGAGCATTTCTAATTAAGACATTCGATATGGAGGAGGCTTGCGTGTGGAACGCAAGACAATTGGGCAACGAACAGCAGCAGCAGCAGTGGCAACAGCAGCAGCAACATCAACAGCAGCAACATTAGCGGCAGTGGCAACAGCAACAGCAACTTATGAATCTTCTCATATCTGAGACAGCACTCGTATTTGGCATTTCACCAACCATTTAGCATTAAGCGCACCCCAGAGACATTCACGCAGTGGCATTCACGGCCGCTTGACTTTCAGTATTCTAAATTGCTAAAGACCTTTTCCTTTTTATCCTTATTGCAGGTGCAGCAGCAGCAGCAGCAATAACCGCAGGAGGAGCAACAGCAGCAGCAGCCAGTCAGCAGCCCCGCAAGTCGAAACTCCTTGTCGAGCGAAAAATCGGGAAAACTGACAGCAACACTGACAGCACAACAGCAACAGCAGCGGCAGCAGCAGCAGCAGAAACTACAGAAGCTCCGGCTACGACAGCAACATCTGCAACATCAACAATTGCAGTTGCAACAACAACAACAGCAACAGCAACAGCAACAGGAGGAACAACAGCCACTGCAACTGCAACAACAGCAGCAACAGCAACAGCAATCCATACCACAAAAATCAGCCAAGTGAGGCTTAATAACCCAGCGACATCAAGCATGTTACTTTTGCAACCCAATGTAAGTTTATATATAAAATATGTGCACAGGAATATCATGGGAAAAATGTCATAATTATTCATTAGGTGGGGGAGAGAAAGTTTTTACCCATAGAATATCAATAAACCTCAAGAACTGCCTTCGTTAAATTTGTCATAAGAGTTAGCAATAGAAACCTTCACTCGAAATATTTTAAATTTATTTACACTCCCATAAACACGCAAAATATTTCCAATTTCCAATTTGCAATCCTCATATCCCGCTGGGATAACTGTCGAATGAGAACAAAATAAACATCCTGAGCGTAAAGTGTGTACAAATTGTATGCAAATTGGCCATGTCCATAGATGAATGGAAGCGTTAATTGCCAGCTGCGATGAGTTAAGTGGAGTCAAGTTGTCTCACCAAACCACACCCCATAAGCAGCAGCAGCAGCAGCAAACAATTAAATAGCTATTGTTACGGGGGAAACACACGTATGTTTGGAAAACATTTTGGCCACAGACCATAAGCATAACCATAAGCATAACCATAACCAATTAGGAAAACATTCTAAAGAGTTTTGCTTTTTCCAGTGCTGGCCTAAGGGTGGGCTCTGCTCTGGGCATAGAAGAGCCAATGGCAGTTGCACAAGGAAATGCGCATGTCCTGGGGGAAAGTTAGACTCCGCCAATCCATACGAGCATTTGGCTATCCTAAGCTATTTTATAAGCTAGCTGGCTGTGGTTTATTCAGTCACTAATTCAGTCGACTGTCGACTGTCTTTCGTTGCAGAGCTCCTTTAGTTCACTGTCGCCCTTTGATAATTTCTCCACGCAATCCGCGACGACGACAACAACGTCGTCGGTAACCGCAGCAGCAGCTGGACACCATCATCTGCAGCAGCATCAGCAGCAGCAGCAGCAACATCAACAACATCATCATCTCCAGCAGCAGCAGCAGCAGCAACATCTGCAGCAGCATCACCAACAGCAGCAGCAGCAACATCAGCAGCAGCAGCAGCAACATCAGCAGATCCTTAATACCCAACAACACCAACACCTGCTGAAGACCGAGTCACTGCTCTCCCATGAGGAGGATCAGTTGATAAGCAACCTGAACGACGTGGCCGGATCGCACAGCGAGCTCTTCTCGGATCTCTTCTTCCCTCGGACTCGAACAACTCGCTGCTCTCGCCGACGACCAGCGGCTATCCGGATAATCCATCTGGCGAGGATCTCACCAGCTCCATCGAGAATCTCACCAAGCTCACGTGCCTGCGGGACAAGCGGCTCTCCTCCATTCCCGAGCAGCAGCTCAGCTCCGAGCAGGAGCAGCAGCTCTGTCTGCTCAGCCTTCGCTCCAGCAGTGATCCAGCCATAGCCCTCCACGCCCAACAGCAGCAGCAACAGCAGCAGCAGCAGCAGCAACAGCCCCAGCAGCAGCAGCAACAGCAACAGCAACAGCAGCAGCAATCCGGCGCGGGCCAAATCCAGCTGATCTCGCCCATCGGTGGGCCACTGTCCTGCGGCAGCAGCCTGCCCAGCTTCCAGGAGACCTACTCCCTCAAGTACAACAGCAGCAGCGGCAGCAGTCCCCAGCAGGCCTCCTCCTCCTCGACGGCGGCAGCGACGCCAACCGATCAGGTGCTGACCCTCAAAATGGACGAGGACTGCTTCCCCCTGACGACTGCCGCCGAGGTTATGTCCGGCTGGAATGCCAGTCCTGCCCCGGCTCCTGCCCAGCTCCAGCAGCTGCACACGCTCCAGACACAGTCCCAGATGTCGCACGCCCATCCGCATCCCAGCAGCAGCAGCAGTGGCAGCAACAACAACAACAACAACAACAGCAGCAGCAACAACGGTGGCAGCAGTGGCTACAACTACCACGGCCACTTCAATGCGGTCAATGCCAGCGCCAATCTGTCGCCCAGCTCCTCGGCTAGCTCGCTGTACGAGTACAATGGTGTCTCCGCTTCCGATAATTTCTATGGACAGCAGCAGCAGCAGCAACCGCAGCAGCAGCAGCAGCCTAACTATCATGTAAGTACAAACAATATATGGTACAACATATATAAGAAAACAGAAACCGAGGCACTCAAGTCAATGATATAAGTTTACCTAAAACCCAATAGAAGGATCATTTATTAGGGATCTGACTTTGGCATACAATCTACTGGGATATATGCCTGATGCCGAGCCATTTGAAGCTCAAAAAATGAGCAAAATAAAAGAAGAATTGAATTGCCTTCACAGAGAACAAATGCCAAATTTTATAAAACTAATCTCCAATCATCCTGAATGCTAGAGGTTCTGTGAAAAACTATTTCATACTCAGTCTTGGTACTGCTTTGCTGCTAAAACTGTCTACGATTAATAGCAATTTTAAGCACAACTTCTAGACTTCTTAAGCACGCTAACCACTACCCTCCTGGATCTCTTCTTCCCTCACAACTAATCCCAATCTTATATCTTATGTTTTCCCCCCAGAACTACAATTCACACAATGGCGAACGCTACTCGTTGCCCACCTTTCCCACCATCTCGGAACTGGCGGCCGCCACAGCTGCTGTGGAAGCGGCAGCAGCCGCCTCCATTTCCGCTTCATTGGGGCCAACGCCCGTGCGTCGATCCTCGCTGCCCGTGCAGCGTACAGTCTCACCCGCCGGCAGCTCCGCCCAGAGCCCCAAGCTGGCCAAAATCACGCTGGGACAGCGACATCACGCCCATGCACACTCGCTGCAATTGAGTTCGGCGCCCAATTCGGCGGCCAGCTCGCCGGCGAGTGCCGCCGGGGCAGATCTGCAGGCGGGACGACTGCTGCAAGCAGCCTCCCAGCTGTGCGCCGTTTGCGGGGACACCGCCGCCTGCCAGCACTATGGCGTGCGGACCTGCGAGGGCTGCAAGGGATTCTTCAAGCGGACGGTGCAGAAGGGCTCCAAGTATGTGTGCCTGGCGGACAAGATGTGCCCGGTGGACAAGCGGCGACGCAATCGCTGTCAGTTCTGTCGCTTCCAGAAGTGCCTGGTCGTGGGCATGGTCAAGGAAGTGGTGCGCACGGACTCCCTGAAAGGACGCCGTGGCCGGCTGCCCTCCAAGCCGAAATCGCCACAGGAGTCGCCGCCATCGCCACCCATTTCGCTGATAACGGCTCTGGTGCGGAGTCACGTGGACACGACGCCCGATCCGTCGTGCCTGGACTACACCCACTACGAGGAGCCGTCGATGAGCGAGGCGGACAAGGTGCAGCAGTTCTATCATCTGCTGACCAATTCGGTGGATGTGATCAAGCAGTTTGCGGATAAGATACCCGGCTACCTGGATCTCACGCCCGAGGATCAGGAGCTGCTCTTTCAGTCCGCCTCCCTGGAGCTGTTCGTCCTGCGTCTGTCCTATCGCGCACGCAGCGACGACACCAAAATGATCTTCTGCAATGGCACGGTGCTGCATCGCCATCAGTGCCAGCGATCATTCGGCGAGTGGCTGAACGACATCATGGACTTCAGTCGAAGTCTGCACAGTCTGGAGATTGACATATCAGCGTTTGCCTGCCTGTGTGCCCTCACACTGATCACAGGTAGAGACAGTCTCACTTAAACCCCAAAAAGGCGAATCATTTATTTACATATTTATTCCCTTTGATCCTTTAGAGCGTCATGGCCTGCGTGAGCCAAAGAAAGTGGAGCAGCTGCAGATGAAAATCATTGGCAGTCTGCGCGATCATGTCACCTACAATGCGGAGGCGCAGAAGAAGCAGCACTACTTCAGTCGCCTGCTGGGTAAACTACCGGAGCTGCGCTCCCTCAGCGTTCAGGGATTGCAGCGCATTTTCTATCTGAAGCTGGAGGATCTGGTGCCAGCGCCAGCTCTTATCGAGAACATGTTCGTCACCACATTGCCCTTCTAGGCAGTCCAAAACCAACAACACAACACAAGAACAACAACAACAACAACATTGCTTCCTTCAACCTAGAACCTAAGTTAGAGCCACTAAGAACTAGGTAGACCATAACTAGCTTTAGTAGAAACCCCCAATAAATAAAAAGAAAGAAAGAAAGAAAGAAAGAAAAACTAAACGCGCAGTGCAAGTATGCAGCAGAACACACAGGCCATATCTATATAGTTCGAGGATAGCTGCTGGTTAGACAGGCCATCCATCCATCCATCCATCCATCCATACCCTGCCCGATGGATAATTGCGTACATGAATATTTGAAAGAGACTCCGAAGGCTCCTTTGTGACTTCGTGTCAGCGCCCAAGCAAATTACAACTTGTTGACGTTAATTGTTCAAATTGTTTAATTTCAACTGTCAAAATCAATAGGCAGGCACGCACGGAACTTCAATGGAAAACACTTTCCCAGCACAACCCTTTATATCCCGAACTCTACTCAAACCTGGCTCAACATTCAGACGGACACGGGCAGCACCGAACGCTCTGTTGGCTTTTTCTCTTTTTTGCTAACTTCTAGTCAATTGTTTTAAGCGTTACACAAACCACAATTAGAGCTGTAGGATTATTATTTGTAGTACACATAGGTCCCTCCAGAATTAACTCGAAATAATACTAGCTAATAGTTGAATGAGTGGCCATAAATTCGAAATTTTGGATTGAATAATTCATATAAAAATTCTATAATTTGTTTTCCTTCTAAATGATTTCCACTCTGCCGATTTGTGGATATCAAACTATCATATCATATACACAGCAATGCCATGCTTGCCCTCTGGCTAAGATAAATCCCATACGAATCCCCCATACCCCAACCAAGTATTTCTGTAAAATCTACAATAAGTATGCCCAAATTTAGGGCTACAGTTTAGCTACATATATCTACATAGATAGGCATAGCATTTAAGGTATTACTTTGATTGAAGGAGTTATCAATGGCACTCAACCAGTGCACAATGAGAGTTTAAGTACCTTTTTGTGATGATTGTGTCTGACACAAAGAGTTGCACACAAACACACAAATCTAGCAAATAAGTAATGGATATCTGTTAATCTTTAGCATACACATAAGCTAAGTATTTCGATAGCCCAAAACCCCCATACCCCCATATGCGTATCTTTTAGTGTGTACGTTACAAACGAGAAACAAAAAAAAACAAAAGAAAAATTAAACCTTATTTAATCTTAGCCACTACAAACTGAGTTCTCAAAGAAAAGGCAAATGGTTCGATTGTATCTCTCTCTGTCTCTCTCTCTCTCTCTCTATGGGTCGATCGATCCATTTGTCCACTCTCTATATATGTGTGTTATTTCGATAGGAAAAACCCCCCTCTATGTGATTTTGTGATAGAATTGGCATTGAACTTTAAATCTGTGTCTATAATACATATATACAATACATGCATAAATATACATATATATTTTTATGTCTAACTTTTGTATGGTTTATTTTATACGTACAACTTTTCTTTGATAACAACAACAACAACAACAAAAACAAAACAAACAAAAAATAATGATCATTAGCTAGCAAAATATTATAAAGTATATTTCAAAATACAGCCTTTAGCAGATGATAAAAAATTAAAAAAAAAAAAACAACAACTTTCCAATTAATGTTTTGTATTGAATGGAAAACCAGTTTTCTATGTGTAAATTTCAAGACTTTTATAACTAAAATAATTAAACAAACAAAAATATATGTATATGAATATGAACAACATATCTCTCTTTAAGCTTTCGAGTGCACAGAAACAGAACCCTTAAGTGTTATTAAATCTATATAATTTATGGGATATGAAATGATACCTACTATTGGCATGCCTATATATTAACTATACAATTTAGATAGATCATTAATAAATTATTAACGTACATGTATGTATGTAGCACCAGAGATGAACTAGATTTTGTACCAATCTTTAGGAGGAACTTAGGCCAAGGTAAACTAAGTATAAACCATGATCTGCATGCGGCTAAGCTGAAGCTATACACTTACATATAAACGCATATACATTATATAAAACATTTACATCCAAGTTGCATGACATGTTTAGAATTTTAGAGCAATAATTCATAAGGACAAAGCACTTTGAATAAACTATAAACTATAAAAACAAAAAAAACCTATTAAATAGAAACTACAAAATGGAAACTTGTAACGGTTAGGAAACGGGAAATGAAACAGGAAAAACACAGGAACAAGTTAGGTGACCAAGAATACAGTTTGAAAGAGCAGCTCTTTAGCAAGCGATGTAAGTTAGGTTCGGGTTCGAAACCCACAAAAACGATGCCATTTTATAGCCGTTACAAACAATGTATATCCAATCATGCACCACATAACATTAACATACACACACACACATATATATATATATGATATATATATAATAGTTATAGTAAACCTCTACTTTGTACCTACACAAGAAAAACATACAATACATGAAACCTTCATACATACTACTATATACATACATATACATATACAGATATATTTTGAATAGAGAAAAACAACAACAAGAACTTTTACAAGTTAATTCTGGCACAAATATAGCCATAACCGGAACATACATACATATACATATTTTTTGGGTTAATTGTTCTTTTTGTAATTTTATATATATACACACATACATACATACGCATACCTATATGTGAATGTCAAGTGTGTGAAACAAAACAAAAGAAAAAAGAAACCAACCGTAAAACGTGAAATTTTTCGATAAAACGATTTTAAAAGAAAACCTTTTTCAACATTGCTATAAAAATTATATATGTATACACCCTACACACACGATATATAGTATATGTGAATATATTTTGAAATATATATACAACATATACACATACATAGATGTATGTATATATTTTACTAAATAAGAGTTCAGATTTAAGCTAGAAGCAGCGCATCAAGCTTTATATAAACAACAAAGATTGGCACAAATTAAATTTAAAGCATTACTTAGATGTTTTCCGACAGATAATACTATACATAAGGATAGTGTATGTATATGAGTGCGTCTATTGGTGCAGAATCAGCAGACATCCACACACACAACAGAGATAGTAACTTAAGCTATATTCAAAACTAATTGTGCGCCTACTACTAGCAAAAAGAAATACCTAAAGATGCTATAAGTATACATATAAAAGATATATTTATATATACATATGTATAGTTGCTATATAGTTGAGTACAGAGATGCGTTATGGTTACATAGCCCCCCGTTGTGTAATTTTTATTTTTATTCTAATTTGAACGTTTCATTTAACTCTTAAGTATCCAAAACAATATGCATATGAATGTTATGATATAGATACATATATGCCATATATATTTATATATGTAGTATATATATAGGTATATATGCATATATGTATGTATCGGGCAATTCAATTAACTCTGCAATTCAATACAAAGCAAAGTTTTTTCTATATCTGTCTTTCAAAACAAATTAGTTATACAAACCAAAACGTATTTACATAAATGTATACAAACACAAATCGTATATTTTAATTGATTTGAAATAAAAGAAAAACTAAATCAATTTACTTGCTAATGTATGGTCTTTTTTTGTCTTATTCTAGCCTAATATTGCAGACAGCTCTCCTGAGTCTTATTTTAGGATTTGTTTTGTCGTTTGTGCTATATCTTTGGATATATCGTAACTTATACTAGTCTTAACTGTGGCTTGATATTCGAACTAGCAGTCTTATGTACAGGGATTGGTGGTTCCTCTTAAAAATTTACAAAATAAAACAAACACTTTAAACATAAACGCGCAGATAGGCATCAATGGACTCTCGGCAGATGGGGCAAGCAGCCCCCAAGTCCATGTACCTTTGCATCTGCACTGAACACTCGGCGCACAGGCATAGATGGCGGCAGGGCAGGATCACAATGTTGGTGCGACGCTCCATGCACACCACACAGCCCCCGCTACTAGGTGTGACGCCATCGCTGGCCTTATTGGAACCACTCCGCCACATGCGGTTTAGCTGGTGTTCTGTCCACAGATAAGCGCACTGCGTTTTCTCTGAGATCTCTGTGCGGGCCCGCTGCAGCAGGTAGATGAGTAGTAGGTAGACGTAGCGCCGGAACATGTAGAGAACCAGCAGCAGGGCGACGCCAATCGACAGCCGGAACAGACTGTTGAACAGACCCAGGCCGCGGGCCACAATCGAGTGCACCACAAAGGCCAGTATATAGTCGAATATGGCGATAACTGCCCGCGGTAGCAGCATAATCAGCCATAGTACAAGGGTGCCCAGATCATCGAGCAGGCCCCAGCAGAACAAGCCACTGGATAGCAAAAAATCTCTGGTATGCAGCAAGCCACCACATGTGCCGCCATGAAAGTATTCCGCCAGATCCAAGATGTTGTCGTACAGCCTGTTGTAGCAGCTTTGGAGCTCGCAGCCGGTGTATTTCAAAAGGTGCAAGGCACGCGTACTTCCTTCAACAATGCAATAGCCAATGAAATAGCTGCCCCACAGAAAGTAGGACACGCAGGTAACGATTGCATTTATAACAAAGGCCAGTGGCCGGAGCAGGGCTTCATCGAGGCAGTCCAGGACTTTGACTAGAAAGTATAGCATGATTTCATTTCATGAGAACAAAATCAAATTTTAACGAAATGCAAACAAAACGAAACCAAAACAATGACGCCGGCAGTGTGACCAGTGCTGCCGATTCAGCTTTTTTCCCGTCAACTCTGGCTGATTTTTTTAACAAGCTGCGGGAAAAAATTTGTATATTGCGGGAATTCTGGAAGTTGTATGGATATTTTTGACAATTTAATCCAAATTAAAGAATTCAGTGAACCTGATACGACCAAGCGCATTCTGTGCATAAGGTATGATGAGTTAGTGGAGCTAATACTTTAAAAACACTAAAATAGTGAACCCATAAATTACGTTTTTTTTTCTTGAGTTTTCAGCCTTTTTCCTGAGTGCTGTTGGCAGCACTGAGTATGACCTCAGAAAAATCCCAAAATGTACTTCTCGTCATTTAAATATACCGAAAAAGTACCGCTTAAAAAAGCAAGCAACGCACTTAACCCCGAACTATTAATACATTAATTTCATGATGTTTGTGAATTATATTCTTCTTATAGATCCATGCTATAATGTTATATATAGGTAATGCACTTTCTTGCAAAAAAAAAGTTTGTATCATTGTCTTATTTGAATGGCTACATTTTAATTAGGTCCCACACTTCTGAATCTGGGACTTTGTTCATCTGCAATAATAATAAAAAAAAATAGTTTAAATTTCAAGTTAAAATTTCAGTTTAGCAGCTAATCAAAAACTTACCAACTCCTGCTTCAGTTGATCGGCTGCAATGGGAGTTTCTGTGTCCGTGTCCGTGTCCATGTCCTCCCCTTGCAATGCAAAACGTCTCTCTGTGCTAAATCCTTTTTCCTTTAGACTATAAATAAAGAGCGCCAGATAGTCAGCGAATAGAACACGTATGATATCATTTTTGGATCCAACATGCAGCAAGTTCTTGCACTTCCTGAGAGCTCTTACTATATTTCTAGCATACGACTTGGCCCGAACAACTTTAGGCTCGAACACTAGACTCTCCACTGTATTTGCGTACTTGGCAATTACATCCTCCAAGTTTAGAATTTCAATTTGCTTACAACTCAATATCAACGATTTGAGCTGCGGACATGTAGGCAAATATAACCTATATGTGATGGGCGAGTCTAATATGTGAATTGACAGCTTTGTCAATTCAGGATACACAACATCCAGTTCCAGGCCTATTGGATAATAATAGCACTGTAGCGTAAAGTCCCCAAGATCCATTGTACATAGTGTGTCGAACGAAGTCACTTCCAATTCTTCCAGGTGAATCAAGTGTCGTATTTGTTGTTCTGAAATTGAATGTTATGCCAAGACCAGTCAAGCCAAGCTGCTTAAAATCTTACCGTGATTCATCCAAAATCCCTCTATTTTCAAAATTTTACAGTATTCATGCACGTATTGAAACACATCCGTTTCGTGGCTTTGGTAGACACAGTTCAACTTAATGCTTTTAATGCTTTCCCTTTTTAGAAAGCCTTTGATTGCATTGAAATTATCATCTGTAATTGCAAAGCTGCCTGAATCGAGATTGATGCATTGCATTGCAATGAGCTCTATCATAGAATCAGATACATTCGCGTCTATATCAATGCAGGTAACATTGGATCCGCACAGCGTGACAACAACTTTCAACTCGTCCGCTGAAAAATCAGAGCAAATAAGTTGCTTGAATGCATTCCGGCTGTGATAGACAAATTGTTGGCTTAGTTGTTGGTTGACTTGGGCCAATCGCGCTTTGTCTCCGTCTTTCAGATATCCAAACACCATGTCCATGATCTCTACGGGTAAATCGCAAAACATTTTGAAACAGAAGCGAAGCACGAACACGTTTTAGCACAGGGACCGGAAACAGGAAACAGAAGATACAGGTATGCATGTAGATATGTATCAGAGATGGGAGTCCTTGTATCGATGTTATGCCAGGGATTCGTACAGTATTAATTACTGAATTACTGAGCCGCAAAAATTTACTGAACCAAAGCTTGCAATGATTCCTTCAGAATCACTTTCAAATTTTGTTGTTTTCCGGAGCTGGCGTTTGTGTCTTTCCTCAGGATTAAAATAATTTAAATCTTTTTTTGGTGTTCTTCTCTCTCTCCCGCGTGCTGCCAAAAATATAAACTTCAGAGCTACTACAAATGTTTGTTTGTTTCATCCATGCTTAATGGAGGCATTCGAATTTCTACCAGATACGTGAGCTCCAACAAATGTCTGACGTACTGCTATCAATCCCGCCAATTTTCAAGTGATCACAAAGCGAATCAAAATTTAATGTTTATTCTTCTGTTGAATTGAATCATTGACTTTGTGTAACGACCAAATAAAACTGCAAAGATCTGATTGGCCGATCGCTTTCGTCCACTCTCTGCGATCGAGGGAAATATTCCATTGTGTTATGGTTTGTGTCTTGGATAAGGGAAATATTTGAGTAGAATTCACAAACAAAATTATTTTTCGAGGTTTAACCCGGTTTCAGCTGTGAAAATAGGAAAAATAATCGTAAAAACCAAATGAAAACTCAGCCAGTATATATGTAATGATCTTATGATTTATATATTTAGTCTCTTTGATAAATATTTAAAGCTAACTTGCTTCGAGGCTGCCATTTGTGATGCCCAATTTGCTCAGAAAAGTGATTAATTCGCTGTTTTTCCGCATCACAGTCATTACCTCTAGCTGCTGCTGCTGCATCTCGCGCAGCGTGTTGCGCTCCTTGAGCTTGAGCAGCTGTATATTGTTTTGCATTGTATTTGTGTCCCCATCCAGATTCTGTTCCGTCTTGATATGATACAGCTCATCGCGTATGCCATTTAGCTTACGCTCGCAATCCCTTACATCCTTCTCCAGGATCTGTGTTTTCAAGTACACCGTTTGCGCCAGCTTATACCAATCCGCCAGGCACTCGGCTATCTGGGCCACCGCTGGATTCACATTGTCCAAGAGCAACGCCTTCAGCCGCTTGCCATTGTGATCCACTTTGATCTTCTCCAGCGCATGGAACTGCTCATCATTATAGGTTAACGTGCGTGTGGCACGATCACGCAGTAAATGCTGCCAGGAGTCACGCAGCCGCTCCACAAGATATTTAGCCTGGGCGCTGGCCCTCGTCCGGCAGGGACACTTTTTGCCATGCATCGACGAGTTCCATTGATCGCTATTTGTAAGTGGGGCATATCCATGGTTATATTCTGCCAGATTAATGACATTCTCAAACTCACTTGAGCTCATCGTCTTGTACAAAATGCTTGTGCATTTGTGAGATGACATCAGCGGCTCCATCGAAATCGTTCTTTACATTTTTCAATGTCTTCAGCAGGGTCTTCAGCTCCTGATCTCCCTTTGTCTGCGTAAAAGATATTAATATTTTCATATACAGATGCCTAGATAGACACAAACCAATCACCTACCTTGGCGGTGCTCTGCACCACATCGGCATAATCAATCACTGTCGACAGAAGGTTATCAAAGCTCTCGGTTTTTCTGCATATGGATAAAAATAACAAATATATATAGTAAAGCACACGCAGAAGATCGATTGACTCACTTTCGTAGCAAGGTTATGGTGGTAATGAGCATCTCTACGAAATGCTCGACACCCTTCTTAATGAGTATATCCATTGAGGTGAAGATGTCCACGCGTCGCTTGCACTCGTGGCCCACGCTACAGGCCGCCTTGGCCAGGCTGGCATCATTCTCCACGGACACATTTGGTGGAAATACTGGAAACTTGGGCAGATCCAATTGCTGTGGCAGCTGGACATTATTATCATCGTTGCTGTAGAGGAATATGGGCTGCTCGGTGGTTGTGGCGGGGAATGCTTTAGCTGTAAGCGAAATTTATTATTGCAAATGGAACCCCGGAAAACGTTTTTTAGCCTACCAATTGTGCGGGGAGTGACCTTCTTTTCCAAATGCTCGTTGTTGAACAGCAGGATCTGCTTCTCCAGAGGCACCTCCGTCTGCAGGAAGATGCGTTCCCGGAAGTTGTCGATCTGCTCCTCAGGCTCGAGGAACACCTCCACAGAACTGGTTCGATTCGTGAAGAAAACATGAATGACTCGCTTGCGCAGGATGAGTGTCACCTCTTGAAAGAATCTGTCAAAGGACCAAGTCTTTTCGCGATTCTCCTCCAGCAGGCCAGCCAAAAGGGGCGTCACCAGTGTCTTGAGACCTTGCGAGAGATGGGCATGCGGCGGCAGGGTTGTGGACCACTCAATGGGTCCGTTCTCCGAGAGCTGTGTACCAGAGATGACACCCGACGCCTTCTTGGTGGTGATCTGATGCATTGTCTCGCGGTTTTTGCGACCGCCAAAGGGTCGGAAGGGCAGATTCCCAGTGGCCACGTGGTAAAGGGTAACACCAATCGACCAGAGATCCACATTGGCGGTGAACGAGCGCTGGATGGACTTGCGCAGTACGGCGCGCTCGTAAAGATCGGGATGCAGATACTCCTCGGTACCGTAAAGTGACGCAAAGGGCTGATTATCCTCCAGTTCGCGCGCAGCGCCAAAGTCCGTCAGTTTGTAGATGGTTTGGCCATCTTCCGATATGAACTTCATGATGTTGCCGGGCTTGAGATCGCGATGAACCAATTTGTTGTCTCGCAGATGCTTCATTCCCGCACAGAGATGCTCCAGCACCAGCAGGAACTCGTGCTCGGGCAGGCCGTAGCAGTTTTCCGGATCGTCCAGTATGTTGAACAGACTGCCGCCGGTGCACAGCTCCATGACAATCACCTTGCCACGTCCCTCCTGATCCTCCTCGATGGCCAGCAGCTTCACAATGTTCTCGTGGTTCACCTTCTTAAGGGCTTCGAACTCTCGCATCTGGACATCCGCCGGCCGCATGTGACTGTACGGATTAAAGGTCTTCACAGCCACCGATTCGCCCGTAATCTTATTGACTCCCTGCGTGAGATGGCGGAAAAATAGGGCCAAACAATAGGAAATCAAATTTGTCATTGGAGGTGACGAGTTCTTACTTGGAAAACGGAGCCTGTGGCGCCTTTGCCCAGCACGCTGGTGGTGCACCACACATAGCTGACCGAGCCACGCAGAAACGACATGTTTTCAATTTGTTTTTAAAATACGTCTTTGTTTTTGTTTTTAAAATTTTTTTGTGCATCTACGAATGTGACGTCGTTTTGTGGCGTTGCCAGACTCGTGCAATTCGTAGTTGCAGCGGGCTGCCATACCATGATATTTTGTGATATGAAATTCGTCAATTTCGATATTCAGCTTAATATTACTAGATAGTTGGCCCTCTCAGTCCTAAAAAAATAATTTTATCAGACTCCTCAATAAATTTTGTTACAAACAATATCGCAAGTCCATAATATCCATTTTCCCAAGGTATCCAGATTGTTGCTCATTTTGTGCCAAAGTTGCACAACAATGCTGCCTCTTCATTTCCACATGTTGCTGAAATTTTTCCCATACAAATCAAATGCATCTTACGGGAATGACGCAACAATGAATCTTCATTCCATACGCGTTCCCGTAAGATACATGTTTCTCACACCACGAAAAGTCACCACGAAAACGCTCTCTTCACCTCTGAAAAGAGAGCAAATTTTGAAAACCCACCACGAATTGAGAGCGAAAGTACTTGAATTTTGCTGCAAAGCATGTTGTGGAAAAGGTATGGACAACTAAGAAACTATCGACTCTAACGATAGCTGAGTGCGATAAAACGATAGATTTTTTTTGACACATTGCACACCGCTAATTTTTTGTTGTTTTACGTGCGCGTTGACATTTTTGCAGCGCCTTTTAATTTATTATTATTTTTAGGATACGGCAAAATTAAACAGCTTAATGTTTTTAAGTGATAAAAAAAAATCGTCAATACATACGGCCTTAATGCACGGCAGATACCTAGGTAATATAGAAAGTTCGTTTGAGGCCGTGAACAGCGTCTGTGCGAAAACCGTGAAGGAAAATCGCGAAAATTAGTTACGTTAAAATAAATAAAAGCAAGCTTTTAAAATGCACATACGACTGCATTTAGTGCGCTTCATGTACATAAATTTAATACTAAGGTAAGGAAGCGACAGACGAAGCAAAATTCAAAGATCGTTTCACTAATTCGAGTTCCTGTTTCCGATTGCAGCTGCTGTTTCTGGCTATACGACAATGTGGCTGCAGCAGATGCCGTCCCAAAGAGCGGTGAGGGTGGAGGTGGTGCAGATGCAGATGCAGCTGCAGCGGCGGCGGCGGCAAAAGCAAGCGCCCAGCATCGACTTCAGCCTGAGGCGCCACCAAAGCCAGCCACAGTGACGCCGGAGCCACCCCCCGACAGAACAGTGAAAAAGGTGGCCGCCACGGCAGACACACATCCAGAGGCGGCTGATAGGGAGCCCCTGGTGGAGTCTGATTATGGCAATGGGCCAAGAACTAGTGAAAAACCCACAAAAGAAAAGGGGGTGGCGGCGACCACCTCTGGCAGGAGGGACACGTCAGTGCATGGTGGCAACGTTTTGGAGGCGGCGGCGGAAGCACCAGCGCCGTCGCATAGTGTAAATAGCCATAGTGAATATATTAGTGCGGTTCCCGCTAGTGAAATGAATTTAGCTGCTAATGAAAAGCACGAGCTAGATAGTGAAGCGGCAGCCCGAGTGCCAAATAATCAATTAAATAATGATAATTATAATAATAATGCTGGTAAAACGCATAGTGTTAGTGAATCGGAACAGTTAGAGCCACCAAATGAAAAGCAGCAACAGCAGCGGCCGAAGCAGAAAGAGCAGGCAAAAGAGAGGTAAGTCCCTATTGATTTATGCATATTTAAGTGCAATCGACATTCGGTGTGCATATGTATGTGTGCGTTTGCAATTGATAAGTTCTCACCGACTGACGTGTGTTCGCGCTGTGTGCTAAGGTATTCCCCGCCCCACTGTGGCGTAATTACAGTTATCAATTTAAATTTTAAAAGTAATTTCCCAATTGACGTGACTTATTTGCTTGAACTTGAACGTGAGAAATGCCCAAAGAGAGCGCGCGTGACGCGTGAGAGAGTGAGAGTTTGATTGCGAGAGCGGAAGGCTAGAAAAAGGATAGGCTGTAAAGCAAAGAGAGCAACAGGGAGGCAGAGAGCTAAGCAACTGTATTTTTACTGTATTAATGGCTGAGTGGTGTCTCAGCTTGAACTTGAACGGGCGGAAGTGCAAGGAGGAGGAGGAGATAAAGAGAGTGTAAGAGACTACAAGCACTGTCTAAACGAGCCAGCTGCTGTAAAACAGCGAACTGAAGGAGTTATTATGTATGTTAGATGTAATAAAAATCCAAATTAAATATTCGGCTTGAATATATTTCGGCTTTGGTATCAATACTGAATTTCGAGAAAATATATTCTAATAAAAAACAGAATATATTTTCTAAAAATAAATATCGGTGCATACCAGAACCGGAACCGTAATTCCACTGACACGCAGCTGCTGCCCCGTTTAGCCAGTACTTAAGAGAACAGCCAAACAAGATTAACTGCATTTCCGAGTTATCTCCTTGTTATCTCTCTCTCACTCTCTCGCACACACACTGCTGCTGTTCCTTTAACCCCATGGCGAAGCCAGCTGGCATATATCACCCCCTATGAACAACAGAGAATTTGTGTCGATTACATCGCCATTCACTACCGATATAAGTGGGTTAAGCGTGTATACTACAAAACATTCCATTGGCCTTCATCTACGACTAGTAAGCACTACAATGCCAGACGCTTTATCAGCTCTGGAAAGCTATTTCGTTGCCATAGGGGCATATATTTAGCCACTGGCGCTTATCAGGCTTTCTCGTGGTTGTTGTCACGTCTTGGGGCTACGGGCACGATCATCCCCACCGTCGTACGAGTTCGTTCACATGCTGCAACCCATCAAAAGTGGAAGATCAATGGGCGCCTTTCACTCACTCACACGCTCTGTCCACCAAGGTCAATATTGGTAGTGTTTTTGGCTTTGTTTTCTAAAAATAAACACTGTCCAATGGTTTAATTATCGATACGCTTGTTGTTGTGGTTGTTGCTTAACGTTCATCGAGTTTCATTTTCGTTTTGAAAATTCGAGTATTTATTCTCACAGGCCTTTCACAAAGTTCTACTCGTATTTACCTATTTGCACGCGACATGCTAGTCGCTAATCCTCCAACCTCACGGGGAAATGTTGCTTGGGAAACTGTTGCTAATTTTAACTGTTGATCTGTGTAGCAGATAACCGCAAAGCGTGTGTATTATTACCCTATAGATTATGGAGTAGCTATATTTATAGTATAGCGTCCGCATACGTCTTTTGTTGTAAACATTTTCATTGATAGAGTTCTCCCCACCCCCCTTCGCGCCTGTGTAAACAGTTGATATTGATTAATTTCAGCGGATTGTTTACTATATTTTGTGTGGTTTATTTATAGACTGAATGACAGGTTGGGCGCCATCTAAGCGAGTTCTCAAATTTCTAGTGGAAATAGTAAAACATTTTCGACATGATCTTGACATTGAAAGGTGTTAAATGATCGCTGTAAAAAGTTGAGGGGGTAATTAATAGGCAGCATTGCTTCTACATGCTCCAAATGGATACATTCTTGCTCAGAATCGATAGTCAGATTCGCTTCAGCCGAGAGATCTCGAGGCTTATCAGAACTTTAATCAAAAAATGCTCAAAATATCAAGCCAATCCTTCTGCTAAAAATAAAGAAAAACCTTTATAATTTCCCTAATTCTTAGCAGAGGGTATTCTCTATTCGATTCTCTCTAGAAACCCTTAGTTATCTTATCTAAGTACTTGTTTCCCATAATGAGAACAGCTTTCAGTTAATTTGTCTGGCTAATGTGCAGCCCCTCATCGTTTGCTTTGTAAACATGATCTTGACATTGGCAATGTGGATGGGATGATAACTACATATAGTAGACACTTTTTTTGGATGCAGAAATTACTTTCCATCGTCATGCGAGAGAGAATGCATGATGTTTTATGTGTAGCCCTAAGCAAATGAGGATTTAGCATTTAAAAGCCGACATGTGGTAAAATATCCTAAATAATAATTCATGTGTGTCGTAACCGCGGGGCCAAAACAACTATCTATGTATGTATGTATGTATGACTTATATACCCCCAGACACTGGACATGATCTGCCTGCTGCAACAGCATCCAATAGCAATTCCATTCCATTCCATTCCATTACACTCGCAGCTTAGTGGCGGTGGACACCCACGCGATGTCTTGTCACAATGCCTTTTGCCGGTAATTTGCTTTACAGTTTTTCAATTTATTTTCCCCCTTCCTTCGATCGCTTTTTTGTTGCTCTCCCTGTCTGTCTCCCTGTCTCTTGCTCAGTGGCTCCTCTCTGGCTCCCTCGCTTTGTGTGGAACGGCAAATGCGCGTACTTTCTAAATGCCTCCTCCGTACGTCCGTTCGTCCGTCATTCAGTCAGTTAGCCGGCAGACTGTCTGCCTGGGCCTATCTATTGGTGGCCGGCCATTTCATTCATCCCAAAAATCGACCAAAAAAAAAGCTTAATGAAAGCTAACTTCAACGCGCCGATGATGGGGATACACTAGCACGAAGAGGGTAACTTTCCTTCAGCTGAGTCTGTCCCCAGAATTGAATAACAAAATACACAATAAGTGACCCCAAAGAACACCAAGCCGAAGCTGGTTACGACCGAGGGGCACTGCCGCACGACGAAAATTTTCATATGGCCGAACATGCAGTAAATGATACAAAGGATAGATCGACAGGAATTGTAAACTTGATTAAGAATTCAAGTATTTAAAGTGACTTTTTCCCGATCCAAATAAATCAGAATCCCCTGGAAAGGGTATCCATCAGAAATAAAAGAAATAAAAGATAGCCCCCCTCCCGGCATGGCAAAGAAAGAAAAAACGCTAAACGTCAACGCCAACGCCAGCAATCGTTCGGCGGGGGAGAGATCCTTTAAAGGCTTTCCAGAGCATACTTCGATATCGGCTTTCGGTTCATTCGTTCGATTCGTTTCGTTTCGAATCGGTTTTTGGATTGGTTTCGATGTTTACTTATCGCACGGTGGGGATAAAAGTGTTAAATGGCAGCGAATCAGAGTTTTTGGCTTCGATTTGATGTCATGTTTGTGTCCCGTCTGTCTGGGCTGCTGCTGCTGCGCTCCCCTCTCCAAAAATGGCTTTATCAGTATGAAATTTACTTTCATTTTTTATATATATTTTTTTTTTGCATTTTCCTTTTCCCCTGAAACGTTTTTCCCAGCCGCTCTTGACAGACCAGACATAAATAAATTTTCTTAACGCAGTAGACAGAATCAAAATCCATTTCACGCGAGAGAGGAGCCTTCCAGACATATCCACACACACACACATATACAGATTCGATACCCATACATATGTGTGTGCGTTGTGGGTCTTGGCAGGTGATTGGGGCTAGCGAATCTTTCTTTTCGTACGGTTCACAGCTTTACTTTCACTTTCAATGTAAAGGACTCGACTCTCTAAAAAAAAAAAAGATTTTACAGTTTAGGCTTTCAAATGCATCATGATCTTGTTTAGGTGTAATCAAACTTGGCAAAAAGCCATTATCATGTATGCCACGCCGCACCGCACCGCACCGTGCCGATCCTCCATAGACGTGCCCATAAAATGCACCAATCGCATGTGATCCCAACCCAATTGACGATTATGCAAATCTGCTGCACAATCGCCAAGAAAAATGCTTGTACGCCTGTCAATGATCGCTCAACGAGATCTGCTGGGACTCTCCAATAATGATCTTATCCTCCCCCCCATCCCCTCCAAAACGCCTGCGAAGCGGAGCCTCACCTCAAATGTCCAGATACTTAATTGATTGTGAGCGTCGTGCGCCCATTGACTTTCGTCAATCAATTTTGATCGCTGATTGTTGATCGCGTTGATCGTCAATTGTCTATCGTTGATCGCTCGATTACTGACTGGATCTCGCTCGAATCTCGTCTAACTGCATTGATTAACATCCCTCCCCCATCCCCTGCTGGTACGAACGGTGCGGTACGCCTTCACTTCTGTGTTTTGTTTTTGTTTTTAAATTTTTTGTTGCATGCATTCCTCGTGCATTTTTCTCATTTTTCTCATTTTTTTCCTTGATTCATTTAGCAGACACGAGGCGCCTCTCTAATGAAAATGAAAATAAAACTCTCTGGAATTGAGAGAGACAGCAAAGAAAGAAGAAAAAAAGCCGGTTATATTTGGTTGCTCTTTTTTGTTCGTTTTTTTTTCCATCATTTGCCGTTGCATTTGCCGGCATTTTTTCCTCTCATGTTTTGTTGTTTCTTTTGTTGTTGTCTCTTTTTGTCTCTTTTGCATTTGTTATTTGTTAATGATTATCTGGCGAAAAATGCCAGAGAGATATAGAAAATGAGAGAGAGAGAGACGTAGACGTAGACATAGACATAGACATGGACGTGTAGACGTTTTGGCATCGTGCGGAGTGAAAAATGTTTTACCTCCGCGTAGGTGTCATGGGAAGGAGGGGGTGGATAGGAGGGGGAAAGGCAGCTGCGCTGCTGCTGCTGCTGCCTGCAGACTGTTTGAGTTATTATACATTTCTGTTTATTTGTTTGTTATGTTTTATTTTTGCTGGTTGCTGTTAAACAAATTAATATGAAACTTTTCAGTGGAAAACTTTACTTTACTTTACTGGTGGGATTTTATTGAGTTGGCTTGGCAGTTAATGGAATGCTTTTTTTGGGTGTCATTGGGGGGTAACAAATATATAATTTAAATGCAATTTGCAGTTACCATAGTCAGCAGAT